CATGTCCTTGAATGTGTAAGGCAGGAGTAGTGCGTGAATTAAGCATGCCCTTGAGTGTATAAGGCAGGAGTAGTGCTTGAATTAAGCATGTCCTTGAGTGTGTAAGGGAGGAGTAGTAGGTGAATTAAGCATGTCCTTGGGTGTGTAAGGAAGGAGTAGTGCGTGAATTAAGCATGTCCCTGAGTGTGTAAGGCAGGAGTAGTGCGTGAATTAAGCATTCCTCGAGTGTGTAATGCAGGAGTAGTGCTTGAATTAAGCATGTCCTTGAGTGTGTGGACAGAAATGTAAATTAAGCATGTCCTTGAGTGTGTAAGGCAGGAGTAGTGAGTGAATTAAGCTTTTCCTTGAGTGTGTAAGGAAGGAGTAGTGCGTGAATTAAGCATGTGTTTGAGTGTGTAAGGCCGGAGTAGTGCCTGAATTAAGCATGCCCTTGAGTGTGTAAGGCAGGAGTAGTGCGTGAATTAAGCATGTCCTTGAGTGTGTAAGGAAGGAGTAGTGCGTGAATTAAGCATGTCCTTGAGTGTGTAAGGCAGGAGTAGTGCCTGAATTAAGCATGCCCTTGAGTGTGTAAGGCAGGAGTAGTGCGGGAATTAAGCATGTCCTTGAGTGTGTAAGGAAGGAGTAGTGCATGATTTAAGCATGTCCATGAGTGTGTAATGAAGGAGTAGTGCGTGAATTAAGCATGTCCTTGAGTGTGTAAGGCAGGAGTAGTGCGTGAATTAAGCATGTCCTTGAGTGTGTAAGGGAGGAGTAGTGCATGATTTAAGCATGTCCATGAGTGTGTAAGGCGGAGTAGTGCGTGAATTAAGCATGTCCTTGGGTGTGTAAGGCAGGAATAGTGCGTGAATTAAGCATGTCCTTGAGTGTGTTAGGCCGGAGTAGTGCCTGAATTAAGCATGCCCTTGAGTGTGTAAGGCAGGAGTAGTGCGTGAACTAAGCATGTCCTTGAGTGTGTAAGGCAGGAGTAGTGCGCGATATAAGCATGTCCTTGAGTGTGTAAGGCAGGAGTAGTGCGTGAATTAAGCATGTCCTTGAGTGTGTAAGGCAAGAATAGTGCGTGAATGAAGCATGTCCTTGAGTATGTAAGGAAGGAGTAGTGCGTGAATTAAGCATGTCCTTGAGTTTGTAAGGCAGGAGTAGTGCGTGAATTAAGCATGTCCTTGAGTGTGTAAGGAAGGAGTAGTGCGTGAATTAAGCATGTCCTTGAGTGTGTAAGGCAGGAGTAGTGCATGATTTAAGCATGTCCATGAGTGTGTAAGGCCGGAGTAGTGCGTGAATTAAGCATGTACATGAGTGTGTAAGGCAGGAGTAGTGCGTGAATTAAGCATGTCGGTGTTTGTGTATGATAGGAGTAGTGTGTGAAAGAACCATGTTCATGAGTGTGTAAGTAGCCGAAAGGATAATTGACCAAATCTTCTCTTGTCTCCAATGAATGACTTCACTGTGTTCATCCGCAATAAAGCTTCCGTTTTCCCTCGCTTAAGATGAATCACAGCTTTTCTAATAATTTCAACTTTGTAAATTGAAATAACTCTACGATTTTAACAGACAATAGGTTCAGGGCTATTTAGAATTATTATAAGTAAAAATACACTTCCCATAATGATAAGAAATCTCTGCTAAAGGCAGAGTCCATCGTATGATTCCGACTGTACCATAAACCATTTGTTATGAATCACCATCACATGGTGTTGATACCACCAGCACCTATGCAAGAGGGTAGTTAAAACACATGGCACAGCATATAAGTGTGCAAAATGTTATCAACAGCAAACACAATGTTGAATGTCTGTGAACAGGTTACATATTTGAAGCAATCATCCCACACAGCGCTGTAATCGAACACCTACAATAGAAAACCCCGAATCAAATTGAATAAGCCAGTGATAACTCACTCCTATTTATGAATATTACAAAAAATCGCGCTCAATCACAGGAAAGATATTTGGTTGTCAATGTTGAGAAATCTCTTAAGTTCTGCGGGAGTCAAGATGATGCCTTAACTCTCCTATAGAATACAGAAAATTCACGAAACTGTCAAATCCTCGGTGACGTATCGATTTTGTTCATGTCCCGCACCACGGTAAAGAAATCTGCATAACAAAATGCACGAGTTTAATTCTCCTGCGCACACTATCAAGGGAATAACGGCAAAAACCGCCTTCTCGCCTTTGTCGCTGCTGCTGCAAGTATATGATACCAGAAACAGTTTTGTTTCTGATATTCGGAGTGAAATTCTTCCAATTTAAACTTCTTATGCCACCAACGTCTTGTCCAGAGCAAATCCACCTCTTAATTAACGCCCTCTTAATTAAATTACGTCTACATCTTGAGACTCGACTGTCTGGGGCTACAGAAGCTGTAAATTGTGTACCATCTTCTCGAAGACAAACCCAGATATTGTGCACCAATAATAGGCGAGGTGAAATGGGCTCGCATGATAGCCCTATACGCTAGCTAAACCTTTTGCACGTTGTCATGTCAACGTTTAAATATTGAGAACATACACCTGTGATTCCGAATCAATACAGTGAAATCTCGTAACTCCGGACCCTGTTGGTCTTGGAACCCCTTTAATTCAGACACTGACTGTTAGGAACGCTTTAAAACAACTAAAGCGACATTACCTAGCACTGTATATTCATTTTTATCCTTATAGATAGAATTCAAATATGTAGACACGTATTAAAGGTAGAGTCATACACAGTTTAGACAGGATATTGATCTAAAATCCCACATCTTATTTATTTCGTTATGAGTTTTACGAAATATTACGAATGCAAAAATGTTTTTTTTACATTGGTAGTATCATACGAAGATGGAATGTGTATATCAACGCTCTTCTAAAGTATTTAATACTTCATTAATTGTCATAGTACTCGATAAAACGTTGTGATAAGCACACCTTCTGAAATATTTCATCAAATGGTAAATATACCTAATTCTTCCTGTCGTTGGGAGCTTTCAAGATAGTGTCTTGAACCTTTAATTGCCTACAATATCATTTATTCATGAGTGGCGCATACTTAAATATCGCACGCTTATAAGAGAATGTAACATATTAGATTAATTAATAAAGCTAGTGATGCATAGACAAATAGTGATAGTCGTAATCGACAAGTTTTGGCGATAATTATATTTGTACTTCATGATCACCTACTGTATTTCAAAAATGGTTGTGATTGTTTGAGAGTTCGCGAAGACAGTGTTCCATGTGTTACGAAATGACGTCATCAGTTCTTGAAGTCAGCGTTTCTATATTGTGAATAATCAGTTGACTTTATTCTCGGAGCAGGCATCTGTCATCCATAGCGTGTTCTGACCGGGGTTCGACTCTCGGCCGCGTCGTACCAAAAGACATTCAACATTCTTTAAGATGATGTACAGTGAAAGATATGTGTTACGTGCGATATTATACCATCTTCAACATTATTCTCAAGGTACCGTTATGGATAGAATTATTATTAAACCGCCCGAATGTTATCTAAAATGAGCGGCCCATTGTAACTTGATAATGCCCTCATATTGCTTGACGACGGGCCATTATCACGCCCATTGTAAGGTGACGTCACAGGATATGGATAGATGACGCCACGCTCAATAGTGACGTCACATGGTTTGTTCTATGACGTTTCCATATTTGTAAAAGTGGGTAAGTGACATTCGTGTTGATTGCAGTAAATGTTTCAAAACCGATATTGTTGTTTAATTTTATTTGATAACAAATTCCGTCCATTTTAGCTATAATAACGGGCAGTTAATGGAAAACCTCGGGCTTCTGCAAATGATAAAGCCCTGAAAAATAGTATTACCCTTATAATAAAAACATTTATGCACACATATATTTCACATGAAAGACAATCATAGTTTCAAAAGTAAGGTTTGTTTGATTCTTGATTTCGGTGTTTGTAGAGTTCTAGTCCGTTGTTTATAAATTCACATATATCGATGAAATGTTATCGTCATGCATTTTAACTCTAGCCATGTGCCAGATTACATATCCATTCTGTCATTTGTATTAAATGCCAATATTTTAATAGCCAATGTGTTAACACACAACACACAAAATATATCATGTTAAATATGCAGTTAACACAAAATATATATGTCATATATATATGTCATGTCCGATATCTACATATACTCATCAATAATAAAAGTACCCACAACAAATTCCCCATAAATAGTCAACACCCCATATATATATATATATATATATATATATAAAACATATTGTTTTATACACCTACACCTATAATATCTAGTTTACAGTTATTTGTCATGAAGATCAAGGTCCAGATATGGATTGTTATAAAAGTTTCATATCTGCATTAAATATTTCCTACCTTATTCATTGGGTAAGTCCGAAATTGTTCTACTTATCCACTTTACTTATCCTAGTTCCTATACTACACTGTTTCCCCTTTATTCAATGATATGCAATGTATGCAGAGACATAAGAAACAACAATTCATATACATAGGCATACACGCCTATCTGAAAGCTTTTCACATTTGCGATTGATGTATTCAGCAGACCTGTTGTCTTTATTCCTATCAAGTACCATATACCCCTTTCAAAAAGATATATAATCTAAAAAAGAGACCAACAAGATCCTTCCAGGGTTGAATTACGATTATGTTACAAGAAATCGGAACCAAGGTCATCTAATAAAACAAATAAACAAAATGACTTAATGATTATCAAAATCATTGATCATGCAAATGTATGCATTCGATGGCCATGAAACAGCGAAAAAAGGGTAGTGACACCGTTTAATTTGTTCACATTATGAAAAGGACACTTTACCAAATGCTCATATTCCCTTTAGGAAATGGGAAATATTGTTAGGATCTCAAGTAAGTATATGTCGCCCACACTGTTGATAGCGCAATGTATACGATACGTTTCACATTGATTCTGGTATTCCGCTAACAAGATCAAACTCTTGGTCTTTGGTGTAGAATCATTACCAGTGTCATCACAAATTCAATACTCACGTTTAGGATCGTGATCCCCGGGTATATCTTCCTGGTGCCTTGGTTGGTTTTCATGCTTACGATGAGACAAAGGATCATCAGGGTCACTTCCAATATCCCAATCTTTACGACCTGAGTCCGGATGTTTTGGAATTTGGAAATTGGGGCTTCCGAGATGTGATAAATTAAATGGCAAGCCTGCTGCGAAGCTTCCCATTTTGGCAAACTGTTTAAAGATGTTGGTTTCAACACCGGCGATGTTTACGGAGTATGATGGCCATTTCCTGGTGTGGTTTCAGTGTCGATTTCAATTGGAATTTTGGTGTAGGTTGCGCTCCGGTGTGCCTGAGGTCTCGTCACGAATATAACACTGAAAGCAGCCACAATGTCGCGGTACGGGTCACTGTTGAGACAAATCATCCATGGAGGAGCAGCACGTGGAATCAGATGGCGGCTTCGCTAAACCACAGTCAAAGCGGAAGATCTACAGTCGATAATAGGAGGCACTGTGAACAGACCAATAACAGAATATCCACAAAATATGGAAGAGCAGAGATAACTGCACTGACACCTCTCTCACGGGAGGGCTGTAGCTATATCATTTCTCACTATAGCAGCGCTTCAACCTGGCTGGAGAACTATTCCTTCTTTCAGACAACAGTGCCACTCTTCCTTTGTCTGAGAGGGCACCGCTGATCCATCAGTCCACCCCCGTACGCTAGAATTAAAAATCTCCCTCTTTTGATAGCAGCGAGGGCAGCGTCCAAATCCTGTCTCCCTAACGCAGGATGATCAAACAGAAGCAAGAGGCCTTCCGTCGGTTCTCTCCAGCCTACGGTTTAAATATAATCAATGAAAGACGTAGAAGGAACGGCGGAAAGGTCCCCCTGTGTTTTTCCTATGATTTCGTTACTCCATCAATTGGCCAGCGGGTAATTCACCAAGCCAGTATTAGAGGACAGCCGGAATTACACGTACAGACGGTACTATAGAAATTTGCATCAGTGTAAATTTCCTTAAGTACAATACCTTTGCCGTAGATCTGAGTCAGTATACAAGTTTTGTTCCCATGCTCTGGTATGTTTACTCTCATCAGCTGGTAGAGCGGATCGTGATCTCTAACTCTAGCACTAAAACACGATTGGGCAGCCGCATGCGATCAGTAGTTCGTGCTAGTGGTCCAGCTGCAGATGCGGCGGTCGATACTTATTGCATGCACGACTCCCAATTAAGCGATGTGCAGTTAATACTTCGCTGCGGATAGGTTGAAGTAATTCAGTGTTATCGGGGCTCGCAAGGTCTCTTTCGGATTTTCAATTTCGTAAATTGAATTATGGAAGGGAGTCAAGGTGTAGGGATAATAAATCTGATGCGTGATATGGAATTCTGAAAAAATGGGCATGTTAACTCGGAATAGAGTACATCAACTGCAAACAGTACGGAAAAAGTTTATTTGCTCGGAGTTTGAAGTGATATCGAGTTTTCTAAACTTGCCCAATGGCATAAAACATCCTCAGAATTTTATTTTATAATAATATGGGGTAACATTTTGCTTTTATTTGCAGTTATTTCAAAGTCATTCTGTATTTCGCGTGCGATTCTTTGAAATTATTATTTATTCTGTCATCCCGAAATCTTTAATCCAAATTTCTATAAACATTTGAATTATATTTTATAAGTATACACTTGTATTCTTTGCTATTATATTACTTTACATCGTTTGAGACGTAATAGTGAGTGAATGAGTTACTGATCGAGATTGGTTGAACGCTGCTTGGGACAGTATTCCTGTTATATCAGGGTGTGTCAGTTTAATGTGGGAGGAAAGCTTGAAGTGATGCAGGTATCAGACGTTTACCGCTTTGGTGAAACCCACGAGCACAGGTATGGTGCAGACTAACCTAGAAACATAATTGGGGCGAACCGGGATCCGAACCCATGATCATTGGTTTGTGGCTTGCCAAAAGGATTGGCGACTGGGCCACCCGTGTCCCATAGAATACACCAACTACAAGCTAGTTTGATGAAGAGCCATCAGCAAATAAATACATGTGTACATACAAGATGAATACATCGTAAATATTCATGAATAGTAATGAGAAGATATGCTTTATGATACTCACAGCAGTTAATTAAACTACGTTTATAACGAACACGCTTATAACGAACTGACGGATATAACGAACTTACTTTTTTTGCCCTAACTATTTGCTGTAGTCATGCTGTACATATGCATATAACGAACTACGGCTATAACGAACTAAAATTAGTGGTCCCTTTGAGTTCGTTATAACCGTAGTTTACTGTACTCTCATCCGAATAATTACATGCCACATTGGGTATTACTTGCCAGATGGGTTGAAGCCATCATTGGTTTATCTTAGTATTAATACGTACGTACTCAAATCTCGATCGCTTCTGTCTTATTTAGCAATGAACCATTGACGGGGGTACAACAGCGTATAGTATGGTTGTTACATTTTCAGTGAGTGGGATGGATTTAATGCCGCTTTGAACAGCATTTCAGTTATATGACGTCAGCTTATTGTGGTACCAGCCCGAAGTGATACATGTCTTTGGCGTTTACCACTTAAGTGAAACCCACGAGCACGTTTATGGTGCTGAACACCTAAAAATATAATCAGAGCAAACCGGGATTCGAACGCACGATCATAGGTTTCTGGTTCGCCGAGACCATCTGTACCATCGGCCGCTATCACCACAGGACACCAACCATTTCATTTGTGTCTAGCTTAAACAGTTAACGTAACCATGCATAGAAACAGGTTATTAGGGATTTGGTGGCCGTATGTCCGTATGTCCGTATGTCTATACTGTGAATGAGTGTGTGAGTGAGCCATGTGTTGTTTTAACGTGGTATACATTTACACAATATAAAACCCTGTCGTCAAAGACCGGTGCAACTTGCAATATATCGCATTTACTTTTTAAATTACTTTGATAATATCAAACAGATCAGAGCATTACACATCAATACAGTATAAAATCGGACAGAGGTCGCCAGCAACCAAAATTAGATGCCCATACTAGGGACAGTGGGGACATCTGCTACCTGGTACCCCAGCTGGATTCCCCCCAGGGTGCTGGCGACACGTAGCAATGTTTAGCCGACACTTAGAATGCACAAAAACAATGCCATTAAAACTGTGATATGCACAACATAATTTGAATGATGTAGCCTTACTCCAGTGTAATACGAATCATGCATTATTGACAATATAGCCTTCACGTTGTGTTTACAATACAATAACATCGCCAACAGGTTAGGCGACATATGTTATTGGTTTTGAATGTAGTTGTCATTGAAAGAGTATATATGTATATATCACCAACTGTCAAACTATAGAGTCTGACAGCAGGAATTAGCTAAAAATGGATGAACTTACGTTTGCGGAGGGTAACCGAAGAAGGTTAGTACGTAGTATTGTAAATTCAACGCGATTGACATTGATATACAGGCTGACAGGAACATCTGTCTTTACACAGATGTCACCAAGCTAGATGTCGATTTCTTCAAATCATAGTCATCTTCGTCAGCTATAGGATATATACACTGATCGCTGTTGCAACAGATGGTTCTCTATAGCTTTGATAATATATATATATATATATATATATATATGTAGGCCGACCTGGCCTGAATCAAGACCAAAGACAATCCCTTTCTCTCCAGGGGGACGAGGAACCTTAAGTATACGATGTCACACGATCAACCGTGTCACCCACTGTAAAACCTTCCACTTCTTGTGTCGGTTCTTACCCCAAACAAACCGTCGGACATTGAACACCTACGTGGAGCGATTACTTGATACGCAGTGGATCTAGTCACAACTATCGATTATATACAGTATGTCAAACACATTCGTGTTTAATGATTTAATGCTTTGATTTTACCGCTAAAGCAGAACACCTGGTGTCATCACTGATTTTCAGTGATCCACTTTATATATTTTATCACTATTTTGCGTTTTACGCCCAATGGAAAATCGAGAGTGATGAGCGTCTCTTTTGATCTACTTCTACTTACTTCTCGCCTTACTTATCTGAACTTATTAGCTGGAGTGTTATATTTTATACCCATTTTTCAAGTCAAACAATAATCTGTTTTCTACTCCAGGAAGAATTCAGTCGTTACATTCAGTGCATTTGAAACAAGATTCTGTTTCACAGTTACTTACACGCTCATTTGAAATAAAAATATCATTTGAAGTTCTTTTGCAGAAGCCATAAGAATGAGAACTGGGCCAGCTTTTTTGCATACCCAAATATCACTTATACATATGTGCGCATGCACTTGTGTATGTGGCCGGTTTTATAGTGCTAGCCTACTTGATATACATATTAACATTAACATTGACATCCCACCCACCCACAGTACACTGTATCCGTGTCCTTGCCGAGGGACAGATATTTTAACGTTTTTTCACAGGAATCAAACCACCGACCTCCCGCTCTCCGCGCAGACGCTCTACTGGCCATAAGACCACGAAGGCGGTTGACGTTGCCTAATTTAAAACCATACGTTTAAATTATTTTAAAAAGTTGCCCAAGTTGCGAAACGTGCAGGAATGAGAATTAAAGGCCAAGAAGTAATGTGTTCTCCTGAGTATAGTACATGTACGGGTAGGATTGTCAAGGTTACAGCAAAGAAAGATTTGATCTCTCAATTAGTGTTTCACTCATATATAGACACACGTCTACTGTATTTTCATTCATGCTATGCCCAGCAATTCACAATATGGTGAGCTCACCTCCATCGAGACGATGGGCGTTGGTAGTTCAGTGTTATGCACTCACACATACGGTTTAACATCCTCTGAACTATTTTCTTAAGATGTATACAACTCCTTACAATGCAAACATGGCGGCACAGATTAAACAAGGAGACATAACTCTTCTGTAATCCAGACCTTCTTAACATTCACAGATCTTATATTGAAACCGAATTTTTTTTTACCGAACACCAGACAAATATTGATCGCCAAAAAACATCCGCTATACTCAGGCACCGACAGGATGGTAACCATTCTACCTGAACACCTGGAGAAGAGTTTCCGCTATGCTCAGGCACCGACAGGATGGTAACCATTCTACCTGAACACCTGGAGAAGAGTTTCCGCTATGCTCAGGCACCGACAGGGTGGTAACCATTCTACCTGAACACCTGGAGAAGAGTTTCCGCTATACTCAGGCACCGACAGGATGGTAACCATTCTACCTGAACACCTGGAGAAGAGTTTCCGCTATGCTCAGGCACCGACAGGGTGGTAACCATTCTACCTGAACACCTGGAGAAGAGTTTCCGCTATGCTCAGGCACCGGCAGGGTGGTAACCATTCTACCTGAACACCTGGAGAAGAGTTTCCGCTATACTCAGGCACCGACAGGGTGGTAACCATTCTACCTGAACACCATATAGAAGAGTTTCCGCTATACTCAGGCACCGGCAGGGTGGTAACCATTCTACCTGAACACCACATAGAGGAGTTTCCGCTATACTCAGGCACCGACAGGGTGGTAACCATTCTACCTGAACACCATATAGAAGAGTTTCCGCTATACTCAGGCACCGACAGGGTGGTAACCATTCTACCTGAACACCATATAGAAGAGTTTCCGCTATACTCAGGCACCGACAGGGTAGTAACTTATCTGCATGAACACCATATAGAAGAGTTTCCGCTATACTCAGGCACCGGCAGGGTGGTAACCATTCTACCTGAACACCATATGGAAGAGTTTCCGCTATACTCAGGCACCGACAGGGTGGTAACCATTCTACCTGAACACCATATAGAAGAGTTTCCGCTATACTCAGGCACCGACAGGGTAGTAACTTATCTGCATGAACACCATATAGAAGAGTTTCCGCTATACTCAGGCACCGACAGGGTGGTAACCATTCTACCTGAACACCATATAGAAGAGTTTCCGCTATACTCAGGCACCGACAGGGTAGTAACTTATCTGCATGAACACCATATAGAAGAGTTTCCGCTATACTCAGGCACCGACAGGGTGGTAACCATTCTACCTGAACACCATATAGAAGGGTTTCCGCTATACTCAGGCACCGACAGGGTAGTAACTTATCTGCATGAACACCATATAGAAGAGTTTCCGCTATACTCAGGCACCGG